AAACAAAATCGGATGGACATTGTTTTTTAAGTCAATCATAATCAAATTATGTAGGAAAATAAATCCAACTCAACTTAAAAGCCTTACGTGAATCATTTTTTAAAGTCGACTTCATAGGCAGATGGCACATACAAATACACAATGACTATAAACATCACCAACATTGAAAAAAAAAATCGACAACAAATAATTCATCCCACAAAACAAACTTTTTAACAAGCTTTTCCATCACCATTCAAAATGACTTTGGATTTTTATTAATCAAGCATATCAAAAGAACTCATAAGCCACCTATCAAGCTTCTCATAATTAGGATGTTCCAACGAGTTGAAGATGAGCGCAATTAATTACCAAAAATTTCTTTAGATTATTTTTCACGATTTTGAGATAATTTGTTATTTTATTATTATTTATATGCATCATTAATTTGTTATCTTATTAATATTTATATGCATCGTTTTTCCCGTTCAACGTTTATGATATTTATATGCATCGTTTTCCCAATTCCTTTATGTTAGAACTTGAATTTTAATTCAAAATTATTTTTTAAAAAGGACAAAAATAATAATACTTCATGCATCTCACAGGTACTGTACTAGTTTCAATAAGATGGTAGTGTCTAATCTAAAGAGTTGACACAATAATCTACTATCTATTTGAGGCAAATGCACTTTGATTAGATTATAGATTATCAACTTTAAGACTTTTTAGTTGACAATCTTTGGAAATAATAACTGATTTTGTTAATTTGCTAGCATTTATATGATGGAAGGAAAGTTGAATGAATGTCAATGGTGATGATGGGATCATGAATGACAAATTATGGATTAATGATGTACGTAATATGNCGATAAAAAAATAATGTAATGTAAAGCATATAAGTTAATTATGACAAGAATAATGCAATAAAATTGGTCTTTACTTTTTATTTTTCTTCAAAAGTGCATGACTCATGACTTAGAAAGCACAAATATCTTTATGAGTGTAACATATTTTATTATATAGTTTGTTTGGCATGAGTGTAATATCTTTATGAGTTTAATATATTTTATAAACATATATAAATTTGTAATAATAAAACATATACAAATTTATATAAAATGCAAATATAATATAATGTACTCATATGTTTAGTCTTAACAATTTTAAGAGTTAAAAAGTACGACGAGTCCATGTCTAACAATTAGTTCATTTCATAAAATAATTTGTGTAGTTATAAACTTTTAATTATAAAGTCATCCATGGACAATTAATTCCCACCCAATCTGTATAGCTCTCCATCCTATCACATAATTTATGATAAGACCCGGCTTTGTGATACAACATTTATTTCTCAATATTAATTTAATGAAATCAAGAAAAAGCAAGAAGATAGTGATGATAATTAAAACTAAGAATCCAATGTAAAAGATCGTCACCATACTTGAAATTCATGATAAAAAAAGATATATATTTTCCTTCACTTGGATGTCCACAAATTCTTCTTTTTCATCTCAAAATGTTTAAATGAAATGGAATTTTCGTCATTACATGTCAATTGTTAATTCCTATTTTATCTTTATATTACTATAATTAAGATTTAATAGTGCAATAGCAATAGCATTAGTAATTTCCTTTTCCATATGGTTGTTTGGACATATACTATCAACAACACCATGTAATACATTGATAGTTAAGAAAAAGTGTTATCGATATTGTTATGCTAAATTGTAAATTTCACTTCATTTAAAATTTAATCTCATACCTCTCAGTTTTGACAACAAAAGATAGGAGCTCTTGATTTTGTACAAACCAAAACATGCAGGCAACAAACGAGCATCGAATGCCATATCGAGCTCGTGTATGGCAATTGAGAGATGATGTGCTGCATGTGAAAGAATGACAAGTCTAACGGTTAGACGAACATACTGTTTCACTAAATATGTATATTTTTAAATTAAAATATCAAAGTTCAAAAATTAATATAAATAAAAGTATAATATTTTATAACATATATAAGCATTTAAGTTAAAAAATACAATGAGTCGCCTAACGATTAGCTACTTAAAAAAAAAAAAGAAAAAGAAAAAATTGTGGTGGAAAAATGGGTCTATGATGATGCATTTACTACAAGTTTCATACCCAGGGCCCAATTAAAGCCTGTCCTTTGGTAATATAAACTCGGCCCAACTACCAAACAGCAACTTGTTAAACAATCTATTTCCTCTCTCTAAACCAGCCCTCTTTAGACACACATAGCTACTCCGGTAGTGATTTTGGATCTTATCTGCAACAAATTGAATGTTAACAGCTCAATTTTCGCCGGCAAACCATTCATCATAAGTCATAACCTCGAAATCGATTCGTCTGTCAACAAAGAACGAGCTGTTTTTTCGGAATTTTCATCCACCGGAGCTGGGAAGACTCGTTTGAATCGATTCCATTGGCTCCGTACGGATTGGCCATGCGACGGTTGTCATCGGCGACGATCGGCCTCTCGAAAGAGGACTCCTCCACTACCACCGCCGACGCCGCCTGTCAAGGCGCTGAGATTGTATTCGCTGCTGCTGTTGTTTCGAAGCCAGCTGAATTTTCAGAAGCCGATTACTGTAGATTGTGCGATGGCCGGCGATGCTCATGGCCCTAGCCCCAGGGGAATGCTATGCAATGCCGGCGCCGGTGCTGCGGCTGGTAAATCTATACTCAGACGACTTTTTGTTTGCTCTTTTTTTTTTCTTGATTGATCTTTAACTAATTCGTGTTTACCTTCATCGAAATGTCTTTTTGCTGTTCTATTTTCAGATATTTTTAGAATGGATATCTTGACAGTACAGTTTATTTGGCAAGTAATAGTGAGGAACTAATGCATTTCTAGATTTGGAAGTATTTGCAATATGGATAACATGGAAGCATGGGCATATATAGAATAAACTATTCCTTGATAGTTTTATTTAGAAAGTAATACCATATTGCATGAGGAACAATATGCATCAAGTTATTTGTGGGATTATTGGTTCTAGATTATTCTGAGAACAAACATAGTTATTCGTGAAATCTTAGGTTGTTTATAGTTTAAAATACTATCCATTTTATGAGGGTGAAAAGAAATGAGACTGATAGCAGAAATTCTTATAATATGATGGTTCAACTTTTATTCACCTTTGAAATGTTACTAGCCATAGTCGCATGACTTTTTTTTGTCTGGTCTTAATCACTTGCAATTGACCAGCATACCTTGATCTACCCAAACAGGAGTTAAGTTTGGTGATAGATTGATGGTGGAAGTTTCCATGACATTGAATTTCAGTGGCTTGCACATATAGAATAGACAATTAGTTGATAGTTTTATTTAAAAAGTGACAGCATATCGCATGAGGAATAGTAAGCATGAATTGTTTGTGCGATTATTAATTTACCTGGTTCTAGATTATTCTGAGAGCAAATATAGTTAATAGTAAAATCGTAGGTTGATTATAGTTGAAAATAGATTCCATTTTATAGGGGTGAAAAGAAATGAGACTGCCTGCGGTATAATATTTTGTTGTAGTTGGTGCAGGGTGCATCTGCAACTTTTATTCACCTTTAAAAAGGTTACTAGTCCCAACTGCATGACTATTGTTTTTGGTCTGGTCCTAATCAATTGAAATTGATCATCATACCTTGATCTACCAAAACAGTAGTTAAGTTTGGTATTAAATTGGTGGTGGAAGTTTCTATGAAGTTGAATTCCAATGGCTGGCGTTGTGACTGCAACAATGATAATAGTCATAATTATATAATTAGAAATTTCTCTCTTCTAGTCTTAGTCATATGGTGTTACTGCACTAGGGAATGATACCAAATTGTTAATGTAACTCTTACGATGTTCGGTTCTTATTTGGTGCAGGAGTGATTGCTGCTACTTTTGTCTGTCCTCTAGATGTTATTAAGACTAGGTTACAAGTCCACGGTCTGCCCCAGCTCTCTAATGCTAATATGAAAGGTCAGAATTTATTTATTTCCGTTCATCATTATTAATATATTTTTTTTTTTTTTTTTCTGATCACAATCATATGCATATTGTCCATTGCAAAGGGAGCTGGAAGAGTCATTGTTGACAATTCTCCTGGCATAGTGCTAATAATGGACTAGATCAAAATGGCTCAATTAAATTATAGTGCTTCTTCTATTAGCGAAGTTTCTATAGTGAAGTTTCTAGAAAAAAAAAATATATCAAACGGCGCAATGCACTTTGAGTCGCTACGGAAACAGCCTCCTTGTATAATTACAAGGGTAAGGTCTGCGTACAACTGACCTCCCAGACCCCAACCTGTTGGGAATATACTGTGTATGTTGTTGTTGTTGTTGTATCACAATCATATGCATGTGGATTTACAGTCATTTGGTATGTAGTCTCATTTAATTTTGTTTCTCAAACTGAATATATTAAATTTGAGTCCATTAATATATGAGAATGCTTTTTTGGTAAAAGCATGATGATTTTGTTTGTTTATAATTGGACAGGTAGTGTTATAGTAGGGAGCTTAGAGCAGATATTTCAGAAGGAGGGATTACGGGGTATGTACCGTGGGCTCGCCCCTACGGTGCTTGCGTTGTTGCCAAATTGGGCAGTAAGTTGGTTGTATTTAATTAATGTAATCTATCTGTGTTGGTTATCATGACGCCTCTTGAGCGCGGCAGTAAATCATTCTTCTCGCTTTGGCAATGCAAACAAGTTAAATGTGAAATGAATTAGGGGTGAAACTCTTGCAGGTTTATTTTACTATTTATGATCAACTGAAGAGTTTTCTTGGTGCCGATGGTTAGTTAACAACTTCCTTTCCCTAGCTTTTTTTTTTTTTTCCTTTTGGGGAAACAAAGCAGAATCTGCTGCTTTTTTATACTTTCAGATGTTAAAAAAAAGTTGAAATAAATAATCGTATTATTTACACCCTTAAATTAATGAACACTGTAGATGTAAATCATCAGCTCTCTATTGGTTCAAATATGATTGCTGCTGCTGGTGCTGGGGCTGCAACGACAATTATGACAAACCCTCTCTGGGTTGTCAAGACTAGGCTCCAAGTAAGCATATTGTGTAGCTATCTTTTCTTTTTATTTATTTATTTGGAAGTATGAGAGCAAAGTAGCTATGCAGCGAAGATAAGACCGAGTAGTAAAGCTGGTTATATCGTAACGTAATAAATATTTCTTTAACATTCAACGCCGGCAACATGCAGTTGATTTACGTATTCAGTCAAATTGAATTGTTAATCACATGTTTGACATAAGGAAATAAAATCAGCACAGTCTGGCTATGTATTCAATCAACTTCTGGACTTGCTACTCCTGCATGGTACACAATTTGTATATTCTCTGAATAAAATGCTGGACATTGGAGATGGCCTACTATAGAAAAAAGTGCGTTAATATTGGGTAATCAGTATGATGAATAATCCTGACCCTACTGTTTCGGATGCTGTGTGGTGGCTGGTTTCTTTAATGGGGATATGCTGAGAGTGATAGGTTAAGTTATATTCAAATTGCAGAACCATTAGTTTTTATTCACTGATGCTAACAACTTAAAAATAAATTATGATAATTCCTTCTTTGAAAATTCATATCCAATTTCAAGTTGTTTGGTTTTCGCCAACTTACAAGACTGGTAATTGTTTTGTTTGTACTCAGACACAAGGAATGCGAAAAGGTGTGGTTCCTTATAGGAGCACGCTGTCTGCTTTGAGAAGAATTACACATGAGGAGGGTATTCGCGGTTTGTACAGGTTATCATTTATTTCCTTACATCATGCAGACATCATATTTTCTTCCTTGTAAATTTGATCTGTCCTTCTTTTGAATGTTTTTTGGTATATGCAGCGGGCTTGTGCCAGCTTTAGCCGGTATTAGTCATGTAGCGATTCAATTTCCAACATATGAAAAGATAAAAGGTTACCTGGCTGATCGAGGTGTGTGGTAGCTAATTTTTGCCTTGATAATGTTTGTCATCAATCTTCATTTTTACTCTGAAACGAGCTTGACGTGAATTTATTTTAATGATGATAGATAACACCACAATAGATAAACTTAGTGCAAGTGATGTTGCTGTGGCTTCATCAGTTTCAAAAATATTCGCTTCTACATTGACATATCCTCATGAGGTAACGGTGCAAAGATAACCTTCTTTTGGCTTATCTGTTGTTTGTGCTATAAACTTGCAAGGTGAAGCCCAAGCTTGTTTTGTTGTGCTTTGCTTAATTCCATAAAAACCCGTTTTAGAAATCTATATCCTGTGAACTCAATTTTCAAACTTCTCTATGTTGCCGATCTTTGTGGGAAAACAAAATAGTAGTCAAGCCTGAAAAAATACTAAAACGTTATGTTTTTCCCCCATTTTAAACCCTGAATTCAGGTTGTTCGTTCGAGGCTCCAAGAACAAGGGCACCACTCGGAAAAACGTTACTCTGGAGTCATGGATTGCATCAAGAAAGTATTTCAACAAGAAGGTGTCCCGGGTTTTTACCGAGGCTGTGCCACAAACCTGCTCAGGACAACCCCAGCTGCCGTAATCACTTTCACGAGTTTTGAAATGATTCACCGCTTTCTTGTTACCCTATTTCCGCCCGATCCACACATTGTGAGGACAAAGCCCTCATGCATTCATCATTAATGATGATAAATTGTTATGTTTTATAAATTGTATTTTCATTGTTGTCGATGATTTTCCCGTGTCCTTGGTAGCGAGACAAAATTTTCCGTTCTCTTTTCTTTTTTCTCTTTCTGTTTTTTCCTTCTTCATTTCTGCCCTTTTTTCAACACTCAAACTATTACTATGATCCTTTGCATGATATGGCATGGCAGAGTGTTCTAACTTCTAAGAGCAAGATCAACCTGTGAAGGTAAAAAAAACTCACCAAAGGGATTATAACATATGATATATTTGCGTGCATGAACCAAAATGCTTTTCTTTATACATTCATCTTTTCCTTATTATTATTATTTTTTTTTTCTGGCTCCTTTGAGAACACATATTACATACAGGAACAAAAATAGCCAAAATGGTAAAACATGATCACCATGACCATCTAACAACTCAAGCAATCCAACATCATTATGGTACAATCCAATTTTATCCAAGGGAAATGAACTTTGGATAGAGAAATGACTTGATTCATCGTAATTTTGATACAATAAATTTTTGCATGAGATGACTTAACCTAACGGCTGGTCAGTCGGTCATAAGTTTATAACAAAAAATTGCATATTTAAGTCATGTAATATCATATTTTTATTCATATTGTATTTTAGTGTATGACCGAGTAACTATTAGGTCTGCTTAATAATAGGCTTACCATTTTGATATATGTGCTGTAAAAGTTAAAGTTCCTTTTTTTAAAAAAAAAAAAAATCATATAAAAAGAGTGCAATGCTGCCATGATATGTAGGGATTAATGCTGGTTGTTTCATGGACCCCTTACCTTATTACTAAGAAAAAAACAACAAACATATGATATGAACCCTTTTTTACTTTTATTTGTTGTTTACTTTATTGTAATCAAAAGCCAGAGTTAGATAGATGGTTTTAAAGTCGTAACCCAATTCGTGTCTCTGGCCATGCCTCTTCATAATAATCAATATTCAATAAAAAATAGGTTACACTCGAAAATGAAGGTTGTGACATCAAAAGCCTACCAAACCATAGATATATACAATTGCATATAAATACATGTGTTAATCTGGATTAAAATAAGAGTTTTCAATCATTAGAGGCTTATGTCGTGCCTTTTATGTGGTATTTAATTTGATCAATATATAGACCCAATATGCTCTTAAAGATTATTTTGATATTTGGCTGATTAGCTCAATTAAATAGATTGCGTTTGTCGTTAATCATCATTTGGGGAAAATGGAATTACAGTAAGGAGATAATGATCATTAACGGGTAACGTGTAGTTGTCATAAAGTCAAATTATATCCTCTTGGAAAAATATGATTGCAAAAGTGGGAAAATGGACCTCTACAGAAATTTTCATCAATCAAATTATGTCAAATTAGTAGCAGGTATTAAAGGTATGAACGAGTCAAGCTCGAGCTCATGATGTTTAATTCGAGCATTTATCGAGTTGGCCTATAATAAATGGAACTCAAGCTCGATTCGTTTATCAATAAATATTAACGAGTTGAGCTGTTAAGCATTAACAAGCCAATCTATAAATAATTATGTAGATATCATTATTTTTGAGCCTTCTAAATGAGAGTTAGACGAGCTGGAGCTCAAAGGAGCTCAACCGAGATCAAGTCTTAACGTGCTGACAATTCGTTTCACTAGCAGCTATAACACTTGCGGAGTCATTTGGAAAGAAACTCGTTGTATGATTTTCATCATATATATGAACTATTCATCAAGCTTAATTACATTGTCTTTTCTTTTTCAATATTTGTAGTTTTCAGAGCACTTTTTAAAATAAAATTAATCATCATACACATTTTTAAATATTATACTATTCATTCAATCAAATATTTATATTTAATTATTTTTATATTATACCAAAATTAACTAATATATTTGTATCTTACACCTATCACATCTTTTTATAATTAAATATCTTCCACGAGCTTTATCCAATAAAAGTTTTTTTTTTTTCAATAAAACTATATTCAATGGCACCCTTAGTGGTGTTGCCTTAGATGGACCATTTCTTTTTCTATTATTTGAGCCACTTTTAATCTGCAGCATGTGTAATTAGGATTAAAAAAGTGGAACATCTAATTATTTTGTGAGAAATAGAAGTGCAAACGAGTCGAATAGTTCACAAGCCGCCCGCTAGTGCTTGAGTCAATGTTTGACTAGAGCTCGAGCAATTCAATCAACCAAATGAGTCGAGTCTCGAGCATCATTTCAAGATGCTTGTAAGTTTGATGAGCCGCTCAATTTTTTTATTTACATAAATACCACATATAGTTTAATTATCAATATTAGAACACGAATACTAAAATTGTCTCTTTAAATTAAAAATAGTACATTTATATTTAAAATTTATTTGTAAAATTTCGAGCCAAACTCGAGCCATGTCGAGCACATTCTTGTTTTTTTCATGAGTCGAGTCGAACACCATTTTACATAGCTCGTCGAGCTCGAGCTTGAGCAGCAAAGAAAAAAGTTCGATCTGCGCTCGACAAAGTCTATGCTTGACTCGACTCGACTCGTTTGCAGCCCTAGACTACAAATAAGCTTTAGCCATATATAGGCATGGTTATTAGTTTGATGGGAAATGATATTATGAGCTTTTTAGGTATGTTGTTTGAGATGAAGTTTGAGGTCGGCTAATGTCCTAACATCAACCATGGCTGCATGTCTTGTTGGCCCTTTGTATAGGGTCATTTAAACAACTTTCCCCGCCTAACTAAAATTCTAATTAAATTAAACAAAAATTGAAATAATTTTATCATTTTTTTAAATGATCATCAAAAAATTCTGCAGTAGTTTCTGATGGATTCTATAATTTTACAATGTTATACAATAGTTAATATTACAAAATAACAAATGTTACATTTGTTGTAATGCAGATCATCTACACATGAAAATAAATGTGAATTAGACATATAATAATATTTTTTTGCTATGGAGCCACAACACGACTTATGGAGTTATATACAATTACTCGTAATTGTTATTAAGTACCATTTACATTTTTTCTAATAAAAATATAGTTTGAACATATATCAATACATTATTTGATGAGTGACTCTATAAAAAAGGGGGTCCGATATCTACATTCAATTTTCATAACATGTAGATAGTAAAAGAAGAAAATGAGATAAAGAGAATACATAATTAATCAAGAATTTGTATGAATGCAAATATGAGCTTCGGAGTCATAGCTATAAATTTTTTTATTAAAGTAACATTAACAAATTAATTATTTATAATGTTAATGTTATGTACAAATTGCACCAGCTCATGAAAAAAATTGAATTATGTATTATTTACAAAAATTCTACGGAGTCATCGAATGGTTTTTTTATGGAGCCGTCTATCACTTAATATATTGACACATGTTCGAAGTGTATTTATTGTAGAATACGTGTCAATACACTATTTGTGACTCCATAAGTCGAGTCATTCTATGACTCCATAGCAAAACTGACATTATTTAATGCCATAAATTTCATTTGTAATTTTGGAAAAATAAAATGAACATTTTATTTATGGTCAAATATCAAAGTGTAACTATTTTAATTGTCATAGGCTAGGCTAGCTTTTCACATTTGAATGAGTTGTGATATTTTTTGAAACATTTTCTTTCTTTCTAATGATTAATTAGAGGTATAAATAACCTAGAACTCGACTCTTTTATTAATTTTAATAAAGTGAATTATAAAAAATTATGAAAAAAAATTCATTTCGAGTTTTAAACTTTTTAATGAGCCAAAACAATTCAATTCGTTAACTATAAGAGATTTATTGATTTCAAAATAGCTTCACTAATGATTCTTTTGTCATTTAGTTTATTTGTCACCTATATATTTCACTATCATTCATATCATATAAATTACCATGAATATCAAAAGATGCAAATAGAAATTGAAATACCTTCCTTGCGAACGGGATTAAATCAGGTACATTCTTTGTAAAGCGATGATAGTCCATCAAATCAAGAACTGACACGTACACTAATCCGCGCTTGCGCCCAAGGCAAAACCCGTGCCTATACCTCGTAGGCTCGGTACCAAACCAACAATTTGAAATATTCGAACGTTAGCTCGCGTGTAGAGTCAGAAGGACGATAATACCCCTTAGGTGCTACATTTATAAAGTCGCTGTAATCCAACAACCTTTTAATTAATTTATGCTTGCTGCTCTTAAAGAATTGAAACCAATTTAAATAGTAGAATTTGTTCAATAAAGATTGGTATCCACGGTCTGTTTGATTATGCACAATTATTTTCGAAAAAAATAATAATTTAATATAATTTATTTATTTTTGTACTGTTAAATTGTGAGTTTGTCATTGCATGTAATCATATGATAGCCTATATTTATTATGGAATTGCCAATTCATTTAATGGTTAAGGATTTTCAAAATTCCATTTGTGTATTTCTAAAACTTGTATGAAGTCATTAATTTGACTAGCTTTGTTTGCAAGCTTATTTCATTCAAGTTAATTACCTAATGCTTACTCAAAAATAATGATTATTTATATAATAATCTCATTTTTCCAATAAATAGATAAAATGGTTAATTACACTTGGCTTATGCATAGCTATTTAGAATAGTAAAGAAACAAACGCAAAATCATTATATCTATTATTGAACAATCGATTTGCAATTTTAGTCAAATAACATGCATGGTTGGGGAATCAAAATATGCAAACATAAAATTGTACAATTCTTAAAATGATATATAAACAACATTATATGATTTTATATGTGCATTATGAGGACTATGTGTGGTATGAATGTAAGGGTGAATTTCGTTTATACACAATTGCAATGCAGATATTGTGTTTTTCACAGTTGAATCAACACATATATTCACGTGTATTAATCAAATAGCGAGAAATTTGATGATAATTGCATGATTGAATGTTTCTGAAACGTAGGTATTTTTACGATGAATGCGCTCAACGTTGTTAGAACACAAATAAACAACTAGAATAGCGGAAGCAATAAACCGAAGATTTAAAAACTCTTCAGGGAAGCGTCCCACTTCCCCTCAGAGCTCTTTCATTGATAACTCGATTATGCACATGCCTATAGTTTTGGAATTACAGCACATAGAACTCCATTCTAGTCTAACCAACAACTATACTCGAATCTACCAACTATTTCTCCGGCCACGTCCCGTAGACTTTAACTCTCGAATCCCTCGAGCTAAAAACAACACTTAATCCCTAAGTACTGATCACAAAAGTGTTTGAATGAAAACAAAAGAATCAAAACAAAAGACTTCAGTTCTTCAATGTCGTAAGAACACTGAAAACTGAACATGAAAATAAAACCTAAGAAGGCTTGAAGCTCGAATATTGAATGGAAGGTAATGATTTCAGCAGTCTTCATTCGATCTTCAAGTAGGGTATATATACAACTCCTTTGATCTTCAAGTAGGCTTGGAGTCTTCTCTAAGTTCTTTCCTTCTTTCACGATCTCCTTTGATCTTCTTTCCAAAAATAGTGTAGTAACATGGAAAGTAAATCTTCCTTGATTGTATGTGATTTGGAGATCTTCAAAATTGAGTTTCCAATGGAAATTTTGTGGTTCCAGACTCGTGTAAGAACACAACTTTCCTAAAATAGCCGATCTTTCAAATCTTCAAAGATCTTGTGGTGAATCTTTCCAAATCCTCGTTAGATTTTCTAGAGAACGTCCAGAATTCCTTATGCACGAATTGCTCATCTTTTCATAGTCTTTGCTATCTATTCCTTGTCCTACAAGAAAGAAAAAACTAATTATGACATAGAATCAAACCATTAATGCATGTGACATATATGATAAGTGAATATACAAGATATATATTATGTAATAATTCTCTTAAATGTTTAGGACTCCATAATACACATTATAATAAATATATAACATATATTAATAATAATAAATAATAGGAACTTAATTAATTAACAAGTAAATAAATAGAAAACTTCCCTTTAATTTATTTTGCTTGTCTAACAAAAAAATCTTTTAGGAAACACTTAGGTTTGTCGAACGATGCTAAACCAATATTCTTACAGTTTCAAATATGTGTAAGCATGTCCAATATATATATATATATATATATATATATATATATATATATATATTATTTTAAAAAGGTAATCAAGGAAACCCATGTCTATAATAAGCAAACTAGATGATGAAACTCTTAACTGAAAATTTTTAGAATAGTAATATTTGACATATATTGATTATAAAAAAATAAAATATGCAAAGATTAATATATGTAGATATATAAATTGATGTTTATATGTTTGAATCTTTGGCTCAAAGAAAGTACAATCTTGGATTTTAAGCTCACTATTTGTTGCCTTTGAATTAAGTTCTGTAGTTTGTGTCACCAGCTTTGAAGCTAACCTCTTATAATAGAACAACTTATTGCCTGAGAATGACACGCTGTCCACCAAGCGGTGGGGCAATATTTGTTTCCAAATTCAAAATTTGATTTTGAAATTCTAATTAATACTATAATAACTCAATACATTGAGCCCACATGTTTCTCTATTTTATTGGGTTAAATTTTATGTACTCAACATTTTATTGATACATCTAAAATTGCCAAATTAGGTAAGTTTGTCAAACTTGATGTTTTAATAATCCACATCAAACAAATTTGTTGTAGAACTATTACATTTGACACTGCTTATGCAATTATCCACACTTGAAAATAGTGTGTTGGATTATGTATGAAAATATTTCTTTTGAGAAAAGAAAAGAAAAAAATATTGGAATTGGATTATAATGGATTTTCAGTCTTTATTTAACATGACTACGAAACCGGTTTAGAATTATTGAACTTTCTTAAATGTGAGTACATAGGAAATACTTTGCAATATTGACATCTAATAGTATGGGACATAGAGACCAAAAATAAAATAACATAAAAAATCTAAATCACAAATAATAGTAAATTTTTAGCCAAAATGTACATCTTGGAAGTTAAGCAAAGCAAGAATATCATTTAATAATTGTAACACAATTTTTACTAATAAATAATATGTTGAACAAACAAAGACAACAAGCGAGCTCAGAAGAGGAATAATGTGTAAAAAATATAAGATTATTTTCAGGTATATTTCTTGTTAAAATAAAAAAGTGCACATAAAATTATAAATTTAAATCCTCCTAGATCACTTCAATATTTTGAATTCACCAGCCTAATTAATTAATTCAAAATTTAGTGATCGTCAGGCGCTAAATTTTGGACTTGTGCCTTACAAGTTAAAATAAACAAAAACGGACAAAAATAAATAAATAAACTTGAAAGCAGAACTATATAATAATGGGCAAATGAGTCTAAGCATGCTACAGCACCTTTACTTAACCTTTGAAATGTGGAACAATTTTATGCATAGTTGTTAAAAAAAAATCGCTCATTAATTTGACTGTTTAATAATCAAATCGAATTTGAGCTCATTTAGCTAACAAGGTGTAGTCGAGCTGAGCTCATTAGGCTCGAGAAAAGGGGTTTTAAGTAATTTTGAACTTCTAACTTAAATTAACTTGTTAGCGATCGAGTTCGAGTCATATTCAAACGATCTTATTAATATTGATAAACAAGTTGAACTCATATTTATTTATCGGCTCAAATCCGTAATGGCTCGAGCTCAATTCAACCGTTTACAATTTTATGCATGTTTGAATATGAAAGGATGACAAATAAAATCCACACCTTCCAAATTCACAGTAGCTCAAGATCAACATTTTTATTGCTAATGCCAAATATATGGAATCGAAATTCGAACTCAATGAAACCCATTTACAGCTTTACGCATGCTTGAATACGAAATGATAATAAACAAAATTCACAATTTCCAAATTTTGATTGTCAGTTATGGCAAGATATATATTTCCATTTTGTTGTTTGCATTTCCATTAATTTCATTTCTAAAAAAATTTCATTTGAATAAATATCTATTTCCGATTTTATGTCGCAAATGTTGACTATTTTGTGCCCAATTAAGAGGCCATTTCTGGTTGTTCCCACACAAAATCTCTTGAAATTTGCAAATTTGCAACTAAATTAATTGCAAATTTCATAGTCAAAATCGGGTCAAATATCTTTCCAATAAAAAATGAGAAATACTAAAAAAAGTCAAAACATACTAGTGAGAGCAAAAAACATTTTAAATAATCAAGCCGTTGGCCATAATTTAATTTCTAACTAAAGCTCGAACCTGAAGTGAACAGAATATTAAAATTTACACGTAATTGCAAATTGAAGGCAAAGGCAAAGGAAAAAAAGAAAAATCCGACAGTTAGGTCCCGAGCCTGGAGGCTTGGAGCGAGGCTCGGGGCCATGTGGCCTTAGGCTAAGATATATTCGAAAAAGGGAGCACTCTCACTCGATATCATCATCACTACCAGTAGAGGTACCTTTTCAAGTTTGCAGAGACAGAGGAACAAAAATAAAAGAAAAATAGAAAAAATAGAGAGAGAAAAAAGGAGGAGCAATGGCAATGGCCACATTTGTGTAGAATCGGTGTAGAGTGAGAAGAAAGTTGCCACTTTTCTCAGTGTGTGCGCGTTTGTGTGTGTGTTTGTGTGCTTGCCCTGATTTTGGAAATTCAGGTGTATCTGCGTTCAACCTCTCTTTTTTCGGGAGAGATTGTGATATAAGAGCTTCGAATATTTATCGGATAAAGCTTGTTTATGTTGGAAAGATTGAAGTTTCAGATTTTGTGATTTTTTTTGTGTGTGTGTGTGTGTAAATTTGAATGGCGACCGTTGAAGGTGAACTTTCCTTCTCTGTGGCGTCGGTTGTGGAAGGAGTTCTGCAGCAGCATGGGCATCGATCTCGTGAGCTTGATTTTGATGCTCGCCGAGCGGAGGAAGCCGGTAATTTTAATTTCTCTGACTCCGTTTTTGTTTTTCGAAGATTGAATCTGTTAACTCGTTGGCCGATCAATGTTCTGAATTGTTCGGAAAGATGATTTTTGGTAGTCGTTAGATTGTTCGGTTGGCTAAGAGCGTTCTAGTTGATCGATTTTGATAAATACAGAAAGGTTTCCACGTTTCTTGTTTCTGTTGATGCGTTAAGATGTGAAGTTCGATGTGATTAGGCGATTTGGCGTATGTTGAGTAGAATGATGTTGGTTTCAAAGTATATTTTGATGATAAAGAAAAACAGAAGCTTTGGAATTAGTTGAAATTTTACTAGAATCAACCTAATCATATTTTCAGCTAATACTTTTTCTGTTTTTCACAAACCCGATTTCATAAATCCAAATATTTTCAGTACCTACATAAACAAATGTATATATATTTT